GAGTGTATGATGTGTGAGTGAGTAAGCGCATGATGAGCGAGTCAGTGCATGATGTGTGAGTGAGTCAGTGCATGGTGTGAGTGAGTCAGTGTATGATGTGTGAGAAAGTCAGTGTCGGCTCCCTCTGCTCGCGCCGTCGGCCCCCCTGGCTCCGTCGCCCCCCCCCCCCAGCTCCCTCGGCCCCCTCCCGGCTCCGTCAGCCCCCCCCCCCGGCTCCGTCGATCCCCCCCGGCCCCGTCAGCCCCCCCGGCTCCCCCGGCCCCGTCGGCTCCCTCGGCCCCCTCACAAACGGCCCCGCCAGCCGCTGCTGGCAGCGCGGCCCGGAAGCGCCTCGGGAGCGCGTGCGCCTCGGGCGGCCATCTTGCCTGCAAAAACAGGTCCCTGCAGGGTGGGCTGGTAGGACAAGTCTCTGCGCTGTCTATTGCTGATTTTACACCCAACAGCACGAGATTTCACTTCGTTAAAGTATTGAAAGGGGACGGACGGACGGACACATTAATCTATTGCAGGCTGGTACACTCAGTTTACAACTTCGTTCCTACCAGTATAAATCTGTACTCTAATGTATGTAGGGTGTGTAGGCATATATGCGTATACAATAAACATGGGGGGAAAAGGGGTCCACCGGGCTTTTATAATAGATGTGGTTGCTATACATTTCCACGTGATGTTACTTAATTGGGCTGTCATTTGTGGCCAGATCGCTTCTGAAAAAGAGCTACGTAGCTCAGTGAGGCTTACCTGGTAAAAGAAGTTGAGTAAAGTTTCAAAAATTTACCATGACGGTAACACTATGGAGAAGCCTTTCATGCAGCAGTGAATTAAGAGGGCTGTAAATTATTGCAGCCCTTTGGAATTGCATGTTTAGTGATCTAATTACCTTTCATATACTTTGCACCCGTGTCGTGTTTTGTGTATTTTTGTGAAACGTTCTTACCCTCCTCTGACTTGACTCCATCTATGAAAAAAGAGCTTCATAGCTCATCGGATTCCTCCAGTATAAATATTATTCACTGGATGCTTGCCATTGCAACCGTTGTGGGATGGAAGCCCCTCCTGTACGAGTTTAGGGTTTTTGATAGAGATGGAGAGACCGGGCAATCTACAGGTAGAGAGACAGGGTCATCGATAGGTAGAGAGCATGTTGCCTTGGCAGATTCCTTGCAAAAGGTACCTACAGTATTTGGTGGTTGAACATCAGAACTGTTTTATTGCCAGAAATGGTAAAACCTATTCTTATTTTTCATCATTGCCTTGCCAGGTGTTCGATGGATAAAGGGGGCTCTCCGGCAGTCTCTTGTATTCAGTTGCTGTACTTTCCCTCTTCTCTATAGGCGTGTCTCGCTTAAGGAGTGAGATACGTTCCGCGAAAATTGCTCTGGCAAGCGAAAAACGCGTTAAACAATCGTCGTATTCCCCATTGACTCCCACGTTAAAAGCTGAGCGACGTTTTAGGCCAGAAATGTTCCACTCTTGAACAACCTTTTTTACATGAGAATATATATTTTTAAAGAGTAATAAATGTAACACCACATATGAAGGACCACAGTGCAATATCCCCTCTGTATAGCCTAAATGGATTGTTGGGGAAATTGCTGTTAACGAGCACTTAAGGTATTGCACATGAAAGGGGTGAGTGGCCAGCACCATGTCCCAGCCGCCTTTGTTTCCCTTGTGGCGATTTTTACACACTGTACCAGGTATTAATTTGAGGCAGAGCCGACCTAGAGGACGCCCAGGACGAGTTCAGATGTTACTGGTGTTGGCCGTGAGCGGGAATCGAACTCGGGTAGTCGTGTTCATAACGCCATGCGTGCCACCCACCCATTAGTGCCACGAAATAGGCGTAACACACAGCACAGCTGGTAAACAAACAAAATGAATAATTAAAACTTATAAAGAATATCAATGCTACCTGCACCTTGCTGCAGTGAGCGGGCAGGGAGGAGTGGTGTGGCTCAACGTGGGCAGATAGCTGAGCGGAAACACAAGGGGGTACACGCATTGGAGATGGGATTGGGCAGTGAGCAGGTCAAATTGCAAACCGGACAAAATGGCAAATGGAAAAAAAAACACGTTAAAACCTAACTTTATTTTTGTACAGTTTGATTATACAGCAGGCATGTCAACCCCCCCCCCCCCCTTCCCAGAAATTATACACCAAACCGATTAAACAGGCAAATGTTAATAAAATGAGATGAAGGCATTCGTGAGATGCGTTTACAGAACATCAAAACAGTAAACTTTACTCGTTTAACAAAAACTATACAATTAAAATCTGTAAAGCTTCTAAATACAAAATACGTTTTTTTCTTCTCAATACGCATAGATAGCATTTCCATACGTGGGACTAAACACATTACTAAAGCACTTACCATTTTAACTTAAATCATATCAAGTGTATTTAACCAATTTCAAAATAGCAACACAAATGGCAATGGGTTTTTTTATGATTATCACCACAAATGGATAGTTTATCAAAAACTAGTTTTTAAACAATATAGCAAACCGTAATTGGCATAGGAATAACATGATCTATAAACATGGACAACCGTGGACTTGCATGTTAACCTTTTAATAATACAAAGAAACAGTTCACAACATTTATATTCAAGTAACTTGTCTACTTAACTCAAGAGGTTTGCATTTCAGTAAAGCATAAAAATGCAGAGAATTTATATAATTATCACTACATACAACGCCCCAACAAAAATAAACTCATGAATAATATGTGCACCTGTAAAAATGATATGCTCTCACTGAACAACCCTAAACAGTTGGCTAAAATCACATTGGAGGTTTTACATAGTAGTCAAACACTGATACAACCACTGTAAGTGTATCAGCTAAAGGGTTATGTTATTGATAATCATTATTACTTCCACTCTTTGATCAAAAATTAGGTTTGTAAAGCTTTAACACAGGACAACCCCCAACGTGGCACGGACGTTCCAAACGCATCACATCGTCACGCCCTCACGCGTCACATCAACACGTTTCACATCGTCACGCATCAACATCACGTCCTCACGCATCACATTGTCATGTGGAGGCAACACACGGTGTAATCGGGTCCGCCGCTCACACTATGATCGCATGAGTCACACACTTTCGTGCTTTATTGCCCTTGATGTGCACGTGGACTCTAGTGGTATGACTCTGAACTGCAGTGGTATAGTCTGTATACACAGTATATCAATCAGAATCGCAGTACTCACAATTACTGGAGAACCGCACGACTCAATGAACCTATTGTTAGCTTGAGAATAAGTAACTCCATAGTCTATTTAAGCCATTGTACAGGAAAATTCCAAGTTAATTTAAGATTGTGTTGGATTATACTGAGAATGATTAGATATATAATTGCCAACTCCTTTACAGTACATCCGTTTTCCTCAACTTGTGAAATTGACTGCGTGCAGGACTCGGGAAATTCACGATTTCAAGTGTAGAGCATGTTCCCTCTGTCGCACTTCCACTGCATCTACAATTTACAACTATTGTACGTTTATTTGGTCACGGCAGAGAAGTCATTCTCCAGTTTTGATGACCCAGCATTGGCGAGACGGCGGCTGCTGTAGAGTCTATGGGAAAAGCGGCCGAACCAATTGCTCGGCCGTACGCAGAATTGACAGTGCTAAAGAGCGATGATCGCTTCACTGGAGAAAATCATCACTATGCGTCCACTGCCATTGGGGTGGTTCTGCAAACGGAGATTTGCTTTAAAACAAAAACAATTAATAAAAATATATTTTACCAGGTAAGGTCCACTGAGCTATATTGCTCTCTTTCAGAAGCGTCCTGACTATTACAAATGAAAAGTGGCTTATCACGTGGACATTGAAAGCAGCCAAATACTCCTAATGCATGTTGATTCTAAATGTGGAGGGAAAAAAAGGACCTGGAGAAAAATCCACACGACCATGGGGAGAACATGCAAACTCTAAATATACAGGCATCAGGGTTGGGACTGAACCCACGACTTCCTGCATATCAGGTGAGGCAGTTAACATCTCGTCACCTTCACGCCCCAATCTTTACCCAGATTACCGAGGAAAAATTAACACCTTTTTAAGATTCAAATTTATAAGAAAATCAGCCATGCGTGCGGTGGTTTTTCAGTTTGTTACCTGCTTTCATCACAGCCAAGTGTAATAATACGAGATCGTGACCTATTTACAAATCAGTAGGACATTGCTTCCCTCGCGCGCAAACCCCAAGCATTTGGCATAAAACGTAGAACGTTTATGAAAAGAGAATAAATAAAAAGTATAAATCTTCAAAAAAACTGGGCAACATTATGATACACAATAGTTTTTGAAATCAAAAGTTTGAGAAAACGTAGCATTAATAGAGATATAAATTCAAATCAATGTTTACAAACTTAATTAACAGTTTGGGAGAGAACGTATATTAATAACAATGAGCAGTCTGATAACTGCATATCTACAATGAAAAAAGCACAAATCACCAGCATTGAAACCAGTATTTCAGATGTAATACTAAACATGCGCTACTCCCCAGGACCTTATCCGCTACGGTGAAACATAACCGCTACATTAGCTTCTTGACAAAACATTCCACTTTTTAACATTAAAAATATGAAATCCACATTCGACTAGATGGCCTCGAGTTAAAATTCGAGCAAAAATAACTGTTTAGTACCACGGACAGGCAAAGTGAAGCTTGTAAATGTACCCTGTTGGCTGTCATACACTCCCCGAGAGAAGTGCAACGCTCCTCTTACATTCTACACTGCTTCTCACGCGGGGGCAGCGGATACAGGCAGCTTTCACACATTCGCCCCACGTCTCACGCACGCACACTCGCAGCCCCCACTCTGTACCCGCAAAACACAAAAACAAAGATCATCACCCCCACCACGTATAGCCTGTAACAGACTGTTGGGGCAAGTGCTGTTAGCAAGCACCTATGAAGGCAGGCATGGCGCACCAGGGGGTGGGTGGCCAGCACCGCGCCTGGCCGCCTTTGTCTCCACAGTGGTGATGTTTTTACACACTGCACCGGGTACTAATTTGAGGATGAGTCGTCCTAGGGGAGGCCCAGGCCCGGCTCAGATAATCGTCACCGATGTTGGGCGTGAGCGGAAATCGAACTCTGACCGCCAGGTTTGTTGTGCAGCTCGCTAACTAACCACTACACCACCACTCACCCGCAAAACACACACACACACGCACATTTGCAAACGGGTTGAACCTGGTGATTATGTCCGATGCAATTCAACACTTTGGGTTCTCTACCCCTCGATGTCCACCAGCCTCCCTTCGGCCGGCAGGGCCTCGGCGGGAGCCACGGAGTCGTCCGGTCCCGGCGGGAGGTCATCACGGCCGTGGAAGATGCGAGGGCAGTGGATGATGAAAGGCCGGATGGGAGTACGGCTCACCATCTTCCCCATGATGGTGGTATTGTCGCTGAAGTTGGGCTTGATCAGCGTGGGCCAGAAGCAGATGGACAGATTCTCCTCGGACATCTTGTTGGTGGCGCTGTGCTGGCACACCCTGCATGCGAGACGCATGTTGAGAATTTACGCGCACAGCTCGTCACTGGCCGTTTCCTGCACTACCGTATTTTCCCACATATAGTCCGCATATAACCTGAAGACGCATATACCCCGCAAAAATAGCATTTTGTGTAAAACAAATTTCAGATAGCCCGCACCCCTCCATATACCCCGCATGCATTAATATATTTAACGTCATTACCGCAGCTTAATTCCATCATATTAATACAAAATTTACATTTGTAATACATTCCACTATCAATTGTTAACATTAAAATCATAACGTGCACAAAGAAAACAAACTAACCGGAAACGAGTGAACTTAATACAGGAAATAAGTAACAAAAGTAAATATCCAATAAATAAGTAACGCAACTGGTAGATAAGTACCGTAAGCGTACTGTTAGGATTAAAAGTATTCGACCTTGTCATATTACAGCTACTGGACCGGTAGTTACCCCTGTACAGTTTTAGCACTGGTAGATTGCGCACTGCGCAGACGCTATGCACTACGGTAACGCCATTGCCTCCTGGCAACAAAGCCATTGGAAGTTTGAAACAAAGCTCATGGTCGCGACTCTATACGGCAGTGCTCAGCCAATAGCAGCGGCCTAAGGGACTCAGCAATTATGATTCCGCGTCTGGTAGATGCTTGTTAAGGCCCTTCCCATTGTGCAATCCATAGCCTCAGCTGAAACTTTCGCACCCCCCTACAGCCACTGAAAGTATTATGGTTAACAAAGTGCGCCCACTTCAAACATTGTCGTTTCATTGTACAAACAATTCGAATAATTTAAAACGTGTTAACATGTGCAATTTTAGTTTGAGTGGTTTATTCAGCAGTGCTTTAGTCAAAGGTAAGTTTTGCATAGGGGATAGTCCTACCATGAAAACATTAAACGAGTTATGACATGTCACACATGTAAAATATTTTTGGGATACCCCGCACCTCCATATACCCCGCAGGGTCTTGTGTAAAAAGTGGTATACCCTGCGGGTTATATGCGGGAAAATACGGTACTCATTACATGTTAGTTGAACCTATTTTTCACTATACTTAGCCAACCGTGCTAATCGGAGGTGTGGGAAAGATCAGTTGAACCGCTTCCGGTGTCACCAGGGGGTGGCATGTGCCGCTTCCGAACCATCGATGGGGCGAACTCCTAAGTGACAGCCTGCTGTGTATGCGGGGAGCTAGGGGACCATGGCGCACCATCTCCTCCACCTGTGAAGTCCGTCAGGCGTGTCAGGCGGACTGGTTATTGCCCTGAACGTGGGTTTAACCAGGCTGGATCCTTGAAAGATGTGGAAACTGTCCCATTGGTGAACTCCTCTCGCAGGCAAGGCTGCGTTGGCTGGGTCATGCAGTCCACATTCCCAGCTACTGCGTGCCCAAGCAGCTTCTGTTTAGCCGGGTAAGAGGGGGCTAAACGGGTACGGCATGAGCTAGAAAAGAGATGGGCTGATGTGGTACAGGAGGATGTGGGGCTGAGTGGACTTTCCGAATACTGGAACCAGTGGTGTCAAAACTGGCCCCTGTGGAGGAGGCTCGTGAAGGCAGCTATTGAACGGATGGAAGCAGTTGCCCTCCAACAATAGCGGAGGGCAAAGGAGCAAAACTCATAACAAGGAGCAAGTTGGCACAGTAGGCAGCACAAGTAGCGTATCTGCCAGCCATCTCAGCTCATCAACCCATGGGACCTGGGGTCTTTCCCGTAACCTCGCCAGTGAGCCTTCAACACTTCACGTGGCCTCAAAGTACACCTAGCCTGGCACACGCGCTGTGGTGCCGTCACCGCCACTTCATGGCGAATGGTGGTCGTTGTGAGTGCGTTGCTGCGACCTGCAGTGGAGGTGGTTGGACACAATACTGATGAGATAGAACAGTGCGTGTCTGGTAAAATAAGTTCAACATGTTTAGAGGAATCAAGGGAAGTTAACGCCAACGGTAACCACGATCGTTTCTAGATTTGCTATATCGGGGAGACGAAACGACATGTCTCTGACCGAATTCGCGAGCACAAATCAGATTTGAAACACGGCAGAACGAATTCTTCTGCCGTAGCTGATCACTGTTACAACGCTGTGGGTGATCACGATATAATTTTCTCCGATACCAAGGTTATTTGCAAACCCACGGGTTTTTATCAGAGATTTGTTCACGAGGCAATTCAGATTTACAAACACAGACACAATTTCAACCGAGATGGTTTCAAATTAAGCAACCATTGGAAAGATGTCCTAAATCGAACCAAACAATAAACTAATTTTCAATGGTACAGTATATTTTTTCAAGTAGTGGTATCCCAAACTGCACGTTTCCCCCTCTCTACACCGTTCGTCATGCTAAGTCCGTCAATTAAATGCTAATTTTTATGCTAATTCCTTTGTCAAGGCGCCTTGTTTCCTCTCACACAGCTTAAAGGTCGCGGTCTGAGCTTGGCTGTGTTCACTCCAGCGCTGTCCTCGAGACAGTCTGGTCCCTTCACCTGATGAAGGCCACTTGTGTTGTGGCCGAAACGTCGTGACTTTTTTATTTTATACTTTTACGTGACTTTACCGAATAGAACCAAAGAGTATGTAACCACGATCGTAGTGATAGCAGAGTGATAGGGAGGTGACTGGAGTGAATCAGCGAGTGCTGGGTTATCAAATCACCCTGACGGATTTACGTTGAATTCTATCAGGTGCAGTGAGGAAGAAATTGGGTGCTCTATCCCGGGTGGCATTCAGGCGATGGCCATCTGGTCAGCTACAAAACATTCATGGCTGTTATTTCTGACGTTAAGACCCCAGGGCCGGCCCAGGACACGCTGGCGGGACTATGTCACTCGGCTGGCCTGGGAACGCCTGGGAATTCCCCAGAAAGAGCTAGAGTCCATCGCCAGGGAAAGGGGGGTCTGGACGCCCTACTCAACATGCTGCCGTCGTGACCCTCACCAGGACAAGTGGACTGAGAAACGAACGAACAAAGTTTTTGTCCGAGTAGACTTCTTATGAGAGTGAAATGAGAAACACAGTCATTGATGATGAGAGTGAAATTGCCCACAACAAAAAACTTCCATCTACAAAGCGAATGCACAGCAGTGCACTTCGAACTGGTGGCATCACGAAAGACACACGAGTGACCACAAGAGCACACACCTGTAGAAATGCGTAATAATGAATTTGAAGACTTCGTAATTGACAAGCGGCAGCTTTTTCACAAAGTCCTGAAGAGATGCGAGCATTTCCTTTTCAACGGTGATGCCTGCAAAAAACACACACAGCTCATCTCACGAGTGCATGAAAGTCACCTGCGCTCACTAGTTCCCGCTCCTCACTAAAAACTTACTTTTGTTCCCTAGCTCACCCCATGACCCCCCAAATCTCCCCCTCATAACCACCACCATGATCATTTCCTCTTCATATGAACCTTATGGCAGGACCCTGGGGGGTCCCATAAACCTTGGCTCTCGCATAAACTGCATTGCGACGTCATTTTATGTCTGTTGAAGGTGAACGATACGGCAATGAATTCCTCTCGAGGAGCTCTACATGATGCGCTAATGAAAGTTAAGTTTTGTTTCTTCTGCGCATTCGTCCTCGCCGCGCTTGGACGACATGACAAGAGAATAATCCGCGCCAGGTGGGTCGCGGCGTTTATGTGCGCGGTGGGACGGAATTGCCAAAAACTAATAAATGAATTATGATTTTGACCTTCTTTGGTTCTTTCGGTAAAGTCACGTAGAATGAGAATAAAATAATAAATTGATAAAATAAAATAACAATAATATTCTCACGACGTTTCGGCCACAACACAAGCGGCCTTCATCAGGTGAAGGGACGAGACTGTCTGGAGGACAGTGCTGGAGTGAAAAAGCCACGCTCAGATCGCGACCTTTAAGCTGTGTGAGAAGAAACAAAGCACCTTGACAAAGGAATTAGCATAGAATTTAGCATTGAAATGGCTGAGTGATTAGCTTGTGACTGGTCACAGAAATGGCTATGTTAAAGTTAAAGCATACACATCCGCAGAGGCACCCCTTGACAAAGGAATTAGCATAGAATTTAGCATTGAAATAGCTAAGTTAAAGCATACACATCCGCAGAGGCACCCCTTGACAAAGGAATGGTTTACAACATGGAGTATAACAGCGCCTCGCAGCAGTCTCTCTCCCCCTCCTCTGTTCCGACCATGGATGAACTCGTCAGTCTGAACGGGGCCCGTAGCTATCCGTGTTGCTAAAGTTGAGGGTAGGAATCCACCCATTTTTTCGCCATATAGCATTGTGATATATAACGACTTATTGTTGGTAGCTTAGCTGATTGGAGAATATATAGAGTTTATTGATAACATTGAGGTAATTTATATTTTAGTTTTTTATTGGTTCACTATATAGTATTCATTATATATTGCAGTGTATACCCAGTTACTGTGAATAGCTCAGATGTGTAGGCCTTGACTTCAACATAGCCATTTCTGTGACCAGTCACAAGCTAATCACTCAGTTATTTCAATGCTAAATTCGCCTGTTTGATTTGTACTAGGTGCCTCGGTGAATGTATATGCTCTGACTTTAACATAGCTATTTCTGTGACCAGTTACAAGCTAATCACTCAGCTATTTCAATGCTAAATTCTATGCTAATTCCTTTGTCAAGGGGTGCCTCTGCGGATGTGTATGCTTTAACTTAGCTATTTCAATGCTAAATTCTATGCTAATTCCTTTGTCAAGGGGTGCCTCTGCGGATGTGTATACTTTAACTTTAACATAGCCATTTCTGTGACCAGTCACAAGCTAATCACTCAGCCATTTCAATGCTAAATTCTATGCTAATTCCTTTGTCAAGGCGCTTTGTTTCTTCTCACACAGCTTAAAGGTCGCGATCTGAGCGTGGCTTTTTCACTCCAGCGCTGTCCTCCAGACAGTCTCGTCCCTTCACCTGATGAAGGCCACTTGTGTTGCGGCCGAAACTTCGTGAGAATATTATTGTGTTATTTTATTTTATCAATTTATTATTTTATTCTCATTCTACGTGACTTTACCGAAAGAACCAAAGAAGATGAATCCTTGCAGTCACGAAAGCTTTAAATCGAAATACGATTTTGACCCTAGGGTCCCGCCATAAGGTTCATATTTTCATCATATGGCTATCGCTCATTAACCCCATTCATTCAAGCCATTCATCATTTACTGTCATCAATTTAACTTTCACCAAAATCACGCATCATCACAGATTCGCCCTGATTCCGTACTCTCGTCTATTTTATTCACCTCATCTCCACTACTACATTAACACACGCGTTGTTGTACCGTTCTTAATTCTGGTCGCAAAAGCCTCAGCGCTAAACTGGTGATTATAAAGCACGAGGAATACACAAATAGGCTTTCGCAACCAATAGGCCCTATCGCTAACCATCAAGCAAAGATGGTTACCACGATTGTGTGCTTTCAAATGTGCTTCTGCGGCTCTTCGGAATGCTCTTCAAATATTAGGAATCCACTGGAGCTATGCACTTTTAAATCATCTAGATTGAAAAACATTCCTGTAGTCTATGGGACCTTTTTGCCAGTATTAAAAATAATGAAAAAGTAAGAATAGGCGTTACCCTTTCTGGATATAAAACAGGTGTTAAGATATTCAAACACCAAATAGAATACCTTTTGCAAGGCATCAAAAGTCTGCATTAACAATACACAAACAATGTATATATTACCAGAGCATGTTTGTTTGCATGTTTTTTCCACAAATGTGTGGTTAATGCAGACTTGATGCCTTGCAAAATGTATCTATTTGGCGTTTGAACACCTGAACACATTTCCTGTTTTATTGCCAGAAAGGGTAAAATCTATTCTTATTTTCAACATTTGAATCTACGTGTCTTCACGTCTGCGGATTGCGCGGTGTCGTATGATGCAGTTGTATAAAACTCTGTTTAAAAGTCAATATGACTACTACTTGCAGTACTAACAAGGTATATTCACAGATTGCCAAAAGCTCTTACCGACTGCATCAGCCAAGCTCTTCTGCATGTTGTAAGGCAGAAGCGGATCCGGCAGTTCCGTGAAGAATGACTTGAGTGCCCCAGTGACCGTGTGCACTGTCACATTGAGGCTGGATATGTCAAAGTTGTGATCTGGAGCACAGTGGGGGTAGGGGAAAGGCAGCGTGTGAACCATGCTTAGGACGCATAAAGTAATCTGCTTTTTAAAAATGTTTTATTGTATTTCAACAATACAGAGCACAAACGGTGACGTACGAGGAATGGCACATTAACTACGTATTACTGATTAAAGTCCCGGAAAGGCAGCAATTGGCTCCAGGCCACCCCTGGGGGAGGGGTAAAAAACTCCCAGCATCCTTACCGCCTCCCCCTGAACCCCCTCAGTTATTTGTAAATCACACACTTGGCTCTGCAGGAATGGGGGACCATCTATCCTCAAATTCCCATTCCCTGCCTTTAAGCTCCTGGCTTAAATGTTCTGCGTCCACAAGGGCAAGAAGGATACCATGCCTTTCTAAACCAAACAGAAGTGTTGACTCGTATCTTTACAATTTACAAACTGCTGTTTGCTTAAATATTTTTGGCCATTGAGCCCTGTGCTCATCAAGTGTAAAAAAACGCATACTTTCCTGATTGCACAGCGATGCTATGGAATCACAGCCACTGAGAGCTCCTCAGCAGCAGAGGCGATGCCCTTAAATTCCACACGTTACAATGCATGCCCATGCCAACAATAAACAAAAACTGTATAAATATTAAATCACTAACACTAAGCGCCTAGAGATTTTATGAATCTCTAGCTGTAATTATTAGTAACGGCAGAACTCTTTCCCCATGCACTGTGTCGCGGTGCGTGCCCCTATGGAAATTAACTGAAGTGCACTCTTGACGATCGGTCTGAGCGTCTACTCTTCTCTATACTTGAAGATCCGGTTTTAAACAAGCGTGGTTGCCCCGATTCAAACCCGGAACATGTCCTCAAACGGCAACAGAGCATTGAGAGCGACAACGGCTGTGCACGCGGGTTAATTGAAATTGGAACACCACCTTTCTCGAACAGTTGTAGTAGGTTTTTCTGGTCGACCTTATTCCCAGAAACTCGATACAGCCCTTCATTATGCAGGCCTAGAAAACACACAAAAAACAGTTTTCAACATTAGAATGTGCCACAATAGTGAGATGTTAACTACCTTATCTGGTATACAGGAGGATCGTGGGTTCAATCCCGACCCTCATGCCTGCTGTATATTTGGAGTTTGCGTGTTCTCCCTGTGGTCGCGTGGATTTTTCTCCGGGCACTCCGGTTTTTCCCTCCAAAAAAATGCGTTTGGAGTATTTGGCTGCTATACATTTCCACATGATAAGCCACTTTGTCGAGCAATCATTTGTGACCAGGTCGCGTCTGAAAAAGAGCTAAATAGTTCAGTGGGCCTTACCTGGTAAAATAAAAGTTTGGTTTAGTTTTATAGGATAATAATAAAAACCACGTGGAATAAGCAGCAAAGTTGTTAGTTGCCAGCAATAAACATACAAACCTCAACAAAGCAGTCAGGGCGATTGATGATCCAGCACCCACTGATTAGCTCGCTCATCAGCGGTCAGTCGCTCACCAGTAGTAAGTCTCCTCCATATCACTCATGCCGCTACTACCATGGTTACTATTCCCGTGAACTTCACTCATCAATTCCTTCACCCATGTTGAGTCGGTCTAGAAAACACTTGACTGTTGTCTTCCATCACACACTGTGTTCAACCACCACACTTCAGGTCACAACAACACGCTGTGGTATACAGAATTGTACACCGCAGTGAAGTTAAAGTTGGAAGATTGCACAGAAAGCGGCGCAAGTGCGGTTTGCACGAAACAAGATGCTGCTTAACCCATAATAATTGGAGGGTCTGCTGGTTGGCACTCAAGACTCAGGCGAAAATATTTGTGGGAGGATGAGGTGTGGTGGTCACAGCCTCCAGCATTCAGTTTTCTACTCGTATCTAAAGAGCCTCGGCACCATACTCGACCAGATTGTTGTTTGATCACCACGAACAAAATAGTCACAGTTTCTGCATTTTTCATATCGACCACTATTGAGTAGTGACATAGCCAACATGGTGGCATGCAGCATAGTATCGGCAATGATCGATTATTGAAACATTACCCTATGGGACATTGGTCAAAAAAAATTCCAAGCTGCAGCATGTACAAAATAATTTCGCAAGTGTCGTAACAGGTACTGAAAGATCTGACCATGTCCGTCCAATCTTCACTGAGCTACATTGGCTTATGGTTGCCGAACGAATACATTCTAAGGTTGCACTCATGACTGTACACACAACATGTTTGCCACAAATGAACCACGATACCTTGCTGATCTCGTCAAGAAGCATAAACCATCACGCGAACTCCGGTCATCCTTGCATCGGCTTTTGGGAGCCATCGAACAAAGACGGTCATTGTATTGCATGCTTTCAGATGCGCTTCTGTGGCAATTTGGAAATTTCTTCCTTCTGATATTAAGAAGCCACTGAAGCTATGCACTTTTAAATCTATATTGAAAACTAATTTATTTAGAACTCCTTTGTGTTTCGTTTGTTGTCCTTTTCCCTGCACGTCCAATTAGCACGGCTGGTTATGTACAGTTCGAAATAAGTTTAACATACATACTGCATCCAATAACCCACGCACGAATTAAGGAAATAGTTAACTCTTATTTATTACTGTTTGTTGTTGGCCACTTGACGTTTTGTGCCTGCACTAAAAAACTGTTAAAAAACGTACGCAGATGTCCAGAATTAACACCCAATTTGAGACCCAAACATCGTCGCATACCTTCTGGCTTTGCCATTCCTCCTCAAAGACACTGGTGGAACCTCATCAATGGACTTGGCATACCCCAATGACTGTATTCACACTCTGTAAATCACCACACAAACGCTGCACTGGCTCAGGGGTAATAACCCAGTACACTTACATAGAAACTTGCACACTGTGGGAATAGAATGGAACGATTCCTGCCGACTTTGCCCCTGCGTGAAGCGTTGTCAATAGCCAAAATAACAATTCCAACTTGTAACACTGCGCCACCACCACACAGTACAATGGTTTTGCCAACCATGGGGGTTTTCAGGAACTTAACCCCCGCGGCTGGCAAGGGATTGCTGTACTCGCACATTCTCAGATAACGACTCAACAGAGACAAGGATGAACCACTGATGACTGGAAAGGTGACAGCAGCAGCCAAGCAGTGAGCCTGCATCAAATTCCCGACCACCACTCCCAAGCTCTGCGGTCCTCTACATATATTAATGTGTTCTCAGGCAATTAACAAGTGATTATATAGGGGGAGGAAACAAGATGGGAGAAAAACCCACGCATGCGAGGAGGCAACATCCTTGTCCCCTACAGCTGGAACAGGTGTCCACATTTCTGCTATACAGCCTTCTCCTGGTCGAGCCAAAGTATGTGGCAACCTCCTTGATATGCACGGGAAGGGAGTTTCACAACGGTTGTGTGATCCACCAACCCCCGCTGCCTCCACAGCCACCGCCCGCCAATGCCCCATTGGAATTACTAGGTAATAAACCTGGAGCAGCATCTCGTTCTGCTTGCACGACCGTACTGTGCCAGCAAGATATGGGTGTTTTTTTCCCACTGCCATGTAACAGAGCCGAGCTACCAGTGAGCCACAGAGGCGAGATATTAACTACCTCACCTGGTATGCAGGAGGCCGTGGGCTTGATCCCAACCCTGACACCTGCTGTATATTTGGAGTTTGCATGTCTCTCTCATCGTGGTTTACGTGGATTTATCTCCAGGTCCCCAGTTTTTTTCCCTCCATATTTAGAATCAATGTGCGTTTAAAGAATATGGCTGTTATATATTTCCACGCGATGATATGCCACTTTGTTGCGCTATTATTTGTGATAGTCAGGTCGCTTCTGAAAAAAGGTGCCTCGGTGGGCCTTCTTACATCATAAAATAAAAAAGTTAGTTCGTTAGTTATTAGTTAGTTATGCCAGCATCAGACGAAATCCAAATCTGACTCGGCATGACATGGCATCACTGCAAGCGTCTCGGAGCGCAAGGAGGAAACATCCGCAAAAAGGAGCATGAAACAATTATGGAGCCACGGACGTTATGTGGGCATTCCTTCCCACACGAACATTCTCACCATTACGCTCAATGTACTCCACACATTTCTTCAAGAACACGGGGATGGGCTGGTCTGGTAGATCCACGAGGTCCTTGAGTGGCATCCCAAAGTAAGCATTCTTGTTCTTGCCCTTCCTCTTTTTGGGCTAAAAAAAAGTCAAGGAGAAAAGAAAAAAATATATATATAATTTTTATCAACTTGGCCGGGTCACGGGGAGCAGGTAGAGCAATGGTAGTCGGTACAAGGTCGTGTATGATAGGGAGTCCTGGCAGTGTAGGCATGGTAGTGCGTGCAAGGCAGTGTATGATCGGCAGTCCTGGGGGGGTAGGCACGGTAGTGTGATAGTGAGGAGTACTGGGGGTGTAGGCACGGTGTAGTGTGATAGTGAGTACTGGGGGTGTAGGCATGGTAGTGTGTGATAGTGAGGGGTACTGGGGGTGTAGGCATGGTGTAGTGTGATAGTGAGTACTGGGGGTGTAGGCACGGTAGTGTGTGATAGTGAGGAATATTGGGGGTGTAGGCACTGTAGTGTGTGATAGTGAGGAGAACTGGGGGTGTAGGCACGGTGTAGTGTGATAGGAGTACTGGGGGTGTAGGCATGGTAGTGTGTGATAGTGAGAAGTACTGGGAGTGTAGGCATGGTAGTATGTGATAGTGAGAACTGGGGGTGTAGGCATTGTAGTGTGTGATAGTGAGGAGTACTGGGGGTGTAGGCACGGTAGTGTGTGATAGTGAGGGTGTGTTCGGGGTGTAAGCATGGTAGTTTGTGATAGTGAGGAGTACTGCGGGTGTAGGCATGGTAGTGTGTGATAGTGAGAAGTACTGGGGGTGTAGGTATGGTAGTGTGTGACAGTGAGGAGTACTGGGGGTGTAGGCATGGTAGTGTGTGATAGTGAGAAGTCCTGGGGGTGTAAGCATGGTAGTGTGTGATAGTGAGGAGTACTGGGGGTGTAGGCATGGTATAGTGTGTGATAGTGAGGAGTACTGTGGGTGTAGGCACGTTAGTGTGTGATAGTGAGGAGTACGGGGGGTGTAGGCATGGTAGTGTGTGATAGTGAGGAGTACAGTGGTACCTTGGGATGTCGTTAATTCCTTCCAGAAGGTAGGACTTATACCGAAAATGACGTATACAAAACGATTTTTTCCCATAAGAAATAAAGGGAAAGGAAATAATCCGTTCCAGAATATAGGAAATAATATTTTATATGGCATATTATACATTAATGGAGTTGTATAAAATAATTTAGAGACACTAATTATTATTAAAATGAATACATACATTAAAATAAATGCATAAATAAATAAAAATGAATTGAAATAAAAATATAGCAAGGGTTGTGCACTGAACGAGATCTACTGTACAGGCAGACTGAGGAGCGGTGCTTTGTTTCAGTCGTGAACGGGGTCTACGCGGGTACGTGGTGACTCATCCTGATCCATACAAGTTCTAGCAAGCGCGTCGTATCCCAAGACATTTTTTTCTGGTCAAAACACGACGTATACCAAATTCGATGTATTCCAAAGCGGTCGTATACCGAGGTATGACTGTACTGTAGGCATGATAGTGTGTGATAGTGAGAAGTACTGGGGGTGTAGGCACGTTAGTGTGTGATCATGAGGAGTACTGGGGGTGTAGGCATGGTGTAGTGTGATCATGAGTACTGGGGGTGTAGGCATGGCATTGTGTGATCGTGAGGAGAACTGGGGGTGTTGGCATGGTGGTGTGTGATAGTGAGGGAGTGCTCGGGGTGTAGGCATGGTTGTGTGTAATAGTGAGGAGTACTGGGGGTGAAGGCAAATAAACAATAAAAACCAAAGCCTTCTGCGACTCACCTTGAGCTTCGAGTCCTTCGGTTTGGCAGCCTTCTTCTTTCCGCCCTCGGCTGCCCGGACCCGCGGAGCGTCGTCGAGGTCAGCCGCGGGGTTGTCGATGCCGCAGCTGCTCCCTTCGGCGCCCGGAGAGAGCAGCGGCGCCGAGTCTGCATGGTGCCCGCCCCGTGCCGCCCTGCGCCCTCCATCACGCAGCGCTACTACCCCACCACCGCTACCCTGCTCGCCGTTCCCCAGCACCTCCGACGGGTACACCTGCCTCCGCAGCAGGGTCTCCGACCTGTACCTGTAGGACGACCGCCTCCGCACAACCGCTTGGCCCTTCCTCCTTTCCTGCTCCGTCGCACTTTCCTCAGTGTCAGAGCCGTTCAGAGTCGCCCTCGAGCGTGTGAACAGCTTCGTCATCGACCAGGTCTTGGTGTCGGCGGCTGCTGCTGTGGGGACGTCTGCGATTTCGGTGTCCTCGGCATGAGCTAGAGGAGCTCGAGACAGCTGCGCTTTTGTGGGACCTTTACTCATAGTTTCATTTATTTTTTCTATCAGCTTAGGATCGAGTTTGCTCACCCCCAAACGCTCTGCGGGTTTCGCAGGCTTCGGCGGAAGCACCTTACGATTGCGCTCGCTGTCGTGCGGCAGTGAAGCAGAACTAACTGGGAGGCTGTTCCCTTCCAAATCCATCGGTCTGCTCCTGGACATGTTCGGAAGCAGCTGCGTCTCATCGCTGGCAGGGCTGTAGGGCGGCTGGCAATCGTCATCGTCGGAATCAGACAAGGACGATGATGAGAACGTGCCGCTCTGGTTCAGAGCCTCACTGCTGACATTCATTGTGGGATCAAAGCAAAATTCTTCCTCGACGAGAGGTCGTTTCTCCAGGGCCTCCGCGAAGAAAGGTGTGAAGACCTCGGTTTGACGATAGAAATGCGACTGGGCAGGAACGGTGCAGAACCTCCCTCCGATTTCACTGGCAATATGCTCCCCCTCGCTGACCAATTCCTTTGCCACGGCATTCTCGAAAAACTCATTTTGGCTCTCGGTTATTGCCACGAGCTGCACAGGAATGACATCGGGCACGTCAGAGAGGAAGGCGCGCATCGTTGCCATGGACGCCTTTCTCTTCGCCGAGTACACGAGGATGTGGCCATGGGTCAGGTCGTCCCTCCTCAGTGTCGCCATGTGATAGGACATGACTGTGATCTTAATCTTCTTACGGTGGGCCCCAAGGAACATCTCTAAGCTCACGGAATCCACCTGGCCAGGCTGCCCGAAGGTACAGAAGCAAGACTCGAAGAAAGGCGTCAGCACCAGGTCCACGGTGAAGGGGTCCCCGCACATGACGCACATCGTAACGTAGAGATCTGCTTCGGTGAGGTCGCTGCGCCCGATCACTTTCGGCGGCGCCACCTCCTGATGACACGAAGTGGCGATATGGACCAGCGCCTGCTTGACCTGAGCCTCTTGGAAGGCCTTTAGCACCGAGTCACCTGAGCTGTCAACGAAGGCGACCTGGTATTTGTTGGCCGTTTGCTGTGCTTGCTGCCTGAGCAGTGGGTATGTTCTATTGGCCACATCTTTGTGATTGGCCAACAACAGTACGATGGGAATATTTCCGGAGAGACCATCTTTTCGGTTGCCAGTTGAGACGTTTGTCATTCTTTCTAAACACTCCGTTAAACATTTTAAAGAATCCAAGGAATTGAAAGCACACAGGTAGCCACCGGGTCTACCATTAAAGCAGGGATTCTGCATCGCAGTTGTGAAGGCAGCGACATCTCCGTCAACCACTTTCAGGTCCAGTGCGTAGTTCTTGTCGTTGATGTTGAGCTTGTTGCCCGTCGACTGTCTCGATATTTCTCTAGACAGCTCGTGCCCGAGCCCATCCTTCCCGAACACGAACACGCCGAGCTTGTCCTCGCCGCGCGAATCCGAGAGATTCTCTGTTCTCCTCTGGCCGACCTTCGAGACGATGTTGGACAGAAGCTGCTCCACCTGCAGATCCACGCAGCCCAGTCGACTGAAGCAGGACTCCTTGGTCGGGTGATGCACGAAGAAGATGTGCTTGAGGATGAGGGCGTCGCGCTCCGCTGGCACGAAGCGCAACGCCTTGTACCTGAGGTCGTCCTCCAGGTCCTGCATGATCTCTCCAATCTTGTCGTGGTTGAACGCCTCATTCCTGTCCACATCCGCAAATGTCTCCGAGTGTTCCAGGAGCATTTCCTGGTAGTCATTCTTTGCCTTTTCAATCTTATGCTTCTGGATGTCTTGGTAGATGTCGATTCTCTCCTTCTCAGAGATCGTTTGGTAGCATTCCTTGCTGTAGATGGTAGTCAATGAATAAACATCTTCCCAAGGTTTTCCAGGAAAGATGCAGCTGGAACTTTCAAGGAGTTGCTTAAACTTCTCTTTCATTTCTGCCTTCTTCCTCAGGGTCTGCAGCATTTGTACGTGTGAGTGAAAGGAATTAGACCCACACTCCTTCAGAAAATCCAGGGGGACACGTTTGTCATTGGGCAAATCAATATGTCTGCTCTCGCTCCACGGCGAGTCGGAGAGCTCAACGAACCACACCCCAAACTCACGTTTGCTTTGCACCAGTGGCAGAAACTCAGCCAACGACAGCGATTCGATTTCGTTTAAGTCAGGGACAAGTGACTCGAAAGCCTTTGGCAGTGTCTGAAGGAATTCTTCCCTTTTTTGCTCAATATGTTCAATCTTCAATCTTCTGAGATGTTCCTTGAAGGACACCTCTGCTTTTTTCAGCCCCAAAGTATCAACCATTTGCTTGTACTCAGGGAAATCTTCCATCTTCCTACGAGTGAAATTCCAAAGTGCGTGGTAATCTCTCACCTGATGCTTCAGCAGAGCCTCGTATTTCTGCGTGGTCGCCTGAGTGAACTCTTTGGCTTGCTTAGCCGCTTCGCAGTAGGGAATTGACTTTTGTTTCCCCTTCAGTTTGTCGATCATCTGTGCCAAAAGCATAAACGCGAACGAGACGTTGATGTTCTCCTGCGCAGACGTTTCTAGCAGGGGGAGATTCACCTTTTTGCTTGAGGCGAAGGCCTGCACGTCCTTCAGGAATTGCTCGTCGGCTCGGTCGCATTTGGTAGCAATCAACAGAATGGGCTTCTTCGATTTGTTCAGCTGTACAAACAACTTGTCGGTGAACTTGAGCTGGTCCGCCATGCTCCGCTGAGCAACCTGGCTCACATCCACACACAACAGAAACCCGTCGATGATCAGTTTGCCGTCTGGCATCGGCTGCTGTTCAAAGTCATGCTCGATTCCCAACTGATCGGTGCAGATGTACATGAGTTTCTCCGCGGACGCGAGCCTGGTCGCTGCGGCTCGCTTGATGTAGTGCTGAGGAACGGAGATCCGGTGCGCCTGGTAGGTGGCATCGTCGATAAACTCCGTCTGCTCCACGACGTTGAAGACGCAGTCCTGGCCCTCCTCCGTCGTCTTCGTGGTCTTGCCCCAGTAGAGAAAGTGGTCATTGTTCACAACCCTTCCGCTGAAGTCGATCTGGCTCAGGATTGTGATGTGGTCAGTGTGGTAGTCGTCCGCTTTGGGCCTAATGAATCTGTTACAAAGGCATGATTTGCCAATTCCAGAAGCCCCCTTGTCCTTTTCCGTTCCAGAAAGTCCAACAACACTTATGTTAAAGGTCCGGCTCTCCTTGCTTTTGGACATTTCTGTATTGTGAAACGTTGATCACTCAGTTCATTGTTGGGGAGGTCAATGGGCACTTTGGTTTTATTTCTTATGAAATCACATTATTGTTTCTAAAAGCCAATGTTTGTCTTGTCTTCGAAAATTACACGGTGCACAAGGCCACAACAGTTTCCTCAAGCTGGAACTCTGTAAAAACTGAGAGAGAACACAGAAACACATGGCACCACGTGTTATTTATTGACAGCACAACTATGAGTGCAAAAAACACAAAGCAAACGTGTGAGCGGCAATTTTTGTAGACAATGCAAACATTTGGCAGCAGCAATTCGACAGCTCAGCAACTGCAATAGATGGCCATGAGTTAGGGTTCAATCTTTTGTCGAATTAACATTTTTATTTTGGTCTCATTTGCATTGTATTAAACTTTTTGTCTCATATGTACAATTTCGTATGTTTCATTGGCTTAATGACGTTAGCATAGATTATATAAATAGTAAGCGTGTCTTACATAACTGGATGAATTAATCCTACAACGTATTATTACATGCTCTCGTTTAAGTTTTGGAATAAAAAAAGTAATCGCCTCTACTTATTTGGTAAATGGATTAACAATCGGATATCCCAACTCTACGCCTCCACCCACACCAAACTCCAGAGTCAACAGCGCACAAGTCACTGCCTCATGGTGACAGCGTGCAGTTTGCAGCAGGAATCTAGCAATGGCATTGATCAAAATCCAATCTAAATAATTTATCACGTATAAAGAGCTTTGTGTTTCAATGAAGGTTGCTGTATATATATAAACATTATTTTTTAAATGAATTTAACACGTATAAGAATTCACTACTTCACACTTGAGAGGTGGCCAGGCGGCTCAGATGTCAGCGTTGAGCTGGCACCGATGATAGCCTGGGTTCGAATCCAGCTTTCAGCACAATGCCTGTGATTACACCAGTTATCACACGTAGTGCAGTACAGTAGCCCCTCGGTTAATGTCTTTAATCCGTTGTACGAAAACAACTGTTAACCAAAATAACTGTTAATATAATTCACTTATAAGATGCAAGGGAGCAGTTTCCACTGCCAAAACAGAAAACGTAATTTAAGCAAAGCCAGTCGGGGTCTAAACGCTCATAAATGGGCGTCGCTGACTGGCTGAGGGCATGGCTCAGCCCCACTTACGAGCCCTCGGACTGGCCGAAATTGGAACTGGTGTGCATAACGTAAACGTACCGTTAGTCAAAATATCAACACTCGTCAAAACTGTGGGGTCCCGATGGGAGGCAAAATGTTAATAGAAAAAAAACATTTACTGATGTCACTGTTAACCGAGGGACTACTGTAGTACGTTTATCATCTCAAGCCTGGTCATCAAACACTCACACAGACATCCATCCTAACATGGAGACCCACAGACCCACATAAACTGAATTGTGATTAAACTGGGTACTCAAGCACCATGAGTTGATGGTCAGTCTGGTCACCAAAGATTGCACAAAAAACCCCATCACTTAATTTTGGTAAAATTTCAGTTGTGAATAAGCCCTGGTGGTGAGATGTTATCTGCCTCGCTCGGCATACATTAAGTAGTGGGTTCGATCCTGACCCCTGTATATTTCAAGTCTGCGTGTTCTCTCCCCGTGGTCACGTGGATTTTCCTCTGAGTCGTCTGGTTTTTCCCCTCCGCATTTAGATACATGCATTTGGAGCATTTGGCTGCTATAAATTCCACTTCGTTGAGTTATCATTTGTGATAGCCAAGTGGCATCTGAAAAAAAATAGCTACATAAATCAGTGGGCCTTACCTGGTAAAATAAAAAAAATAGTTTAGTTTTATATAATGAAAACTACGTGGAATAAACAGGAGAGTTGTTAGGTGTCAGTACTAAACATACACATCTCAGCAACTGTAATAGAGAAATAATTAAACAAAGCAGTCTGGGTGATTGATGATCCAGCACTCGCCGATTCCCTCGCTCACCAGCATTAAGGGGCTATCCATTTCATACTTACGCATGGAGGGGGGTTAACCCAAATGCGTACGCTTGCGTATGGGGGGGGGGTCTACTGACAATGCATAGGAAATGTGGGGGGGTGAAGCCTCGATAATAATTTGTCTACATTGGCCTTCAAATAAGCCAGTTCAGTTTCTTCAGCTGTTAAACAAGTACTACTGGGAGAAGTAGGTCTGGGGGAGAGGTGTCACTTGTATGCCACCGTACCCCTGACTGATAGCTATCACACAGCTCAGCAGTGAGTCTGAAAGTCTAGCGGCCTGCCCATAGATTACACATCCTTCAATCTGACCTCACTGCAGACTGCCGCTGGCTCAAGATTTTAGCTGCCGCGGTCCTCTCTGTTCGTGCTGCTGCTGCTGCCCGGACTTCAGTACTAACACTGGTCTGTACATCGGTCTACTGTTACAGCAGATGTTCAGTCGACGCACTTTATACAGAGACTAGTCCGCCGAGTTTACATTGTGTTTTAAGATCATAATAGACGTGTTTTTGAATAACTAGTCAGGATGGATAACACGGTCAAGAATAACTGTTTGTACAAAGCTGTGTGAAAAGCTAGGCCGCAAGCTAGTAAACAAGAACACGTTAATATTATGAATCCTTTATCGTGTCTGCGTGGATTAAATATCGGCCGCTCTATAGTTTTCGGGGGGGGGGGGGGGTGTAAAAAGTACGCGTGCGTACGGGGAGGGGTCAAGTTTTGACAGATTTTTGCATACGTACTAAATGGTTGGCCCCCTAAGTCCCCTCCCTATCATTCTTATGCCACTACTACCATGGTTATTGTTCCTGTAAACTTCGCTGGTCGATTCCTTCACCCATGTTCAGACTCAGTCTATAAGACACTGTTTAAAAAATTGTCTATGGTTTTTTAAAGTTTAAAATGACCCTTAAACCGTGACTAATCACAAAATGGCCAGGAAGTAGGCTTTGTGACGAAGTCACGGCCAGGGTAATGTCAGATCGCGCCATTCACATCGATAAACCAGTTTGGTTGTTATTGACGAATACGCACGTATGCCCCTTCACAAAAGGAGGGCACCTAACATACCACCCACACGTTTACCTATATAAGTCACTCGGGACTTCACACATTATTTCCTTTTCTCTTTCTCGCCCAGGCTCGAAGCAAATGTTGTGACAAACTCTGCTTTTTTTACACTTCACTCTGTCGAAGAGCACAGTACCAAAGACCCAAAAACGTCAAGCAGGCAGGAGCAAAAGGCAGTATAAAGTTGTAATAGGCAAGGGATAACACGTTGCTTGAATCGGGCCAGATTGCTATCAGAAAAGCTTGGGGAAAGGGATGAATGGGAGGGATTTCCGAAGATGAGCAGTGTGTAAGGAAGGAAGCAGCAAGTGAGGTGACCTGCAGTGGTCAGTCAGTGAGCGGGTGGGTGGGCGAGTCTGTGAATAAGTGGGAAGGCGAGTGGGTGAGTGTGTTGTAACCTGCAGTGTTGTGGGGAGCAGTCATGTAGTGGTTTGCACGCTGGACTACCAATCCGGCGACACGAGTTCGATTCCCGCTCACGGCCAACACGAGTGACGATAATTTGAACCGGTTGTTGGCCTCCCCTAGGTCGACTCAACCTTAAATGAGTACCTAGTGCGGTGGGTAAAACTTCGCTACTAGGGAGACAAAGGTGGTTGGGTGTGGTGCTGGCCACCCACCCCCTCATGTGCCATGCCGGCTTTCATAGGTGATCGCTAACAGGCTATATGGGATATCTTTATCGTTGTTTTGCACTGTTGCTAGTGGGTGAGTGTGTGAGTGATTGGGTATAGTGTGTTGTAGTGATCTGCAGTGATGGTGGTGGTTAAACAGTGTGGATGAGATATGGCAGTTAGTATGGTAGGCTGAGTCCATAACATAGGTAAGTGTGTTGTTGTGACCTGCAGTGTGGTGAGAAAGTGGGCGAGTGTGAGTGGGTGTGCGAGTTTTGAAGTGGGTGGGCGAGTCGATTAGTGCCTGAACGAGTGCGTAGTGTGTTGTAGTCACCTATAGTGTAAGTGGTTGTGGTGGTTGAACACTGTGGTGGATAAGACGAGACAGTCTGTCTGGTAGACCGAGTCCTCAACATGCGTGGAGGGATCAATGATTGAAGTTCATGGAGACAATAACCATGGCATTCACGACCATATGAAGCACCATGTTAATATGAAGCACCCTGTTAAATATTTGAGACTCTGCAGTCCAATGTTTTCGAAACTTTCCACTGAGACCACAGAACCACACAGCTAAAAGACGTCACGTGTTTTTACAACGGGCACTGTGCAACGAACGCGTAGGCATTAGCGAAGCAGCGAACACAAACAGGGATCTTGTGGCTCACAATCCACATCACACAAACCCTTTTACTATTTTATTATAATTCCACTTGTTTACCTGGAGAGTCTCAGTCATGAGACTCTTTTATTAGGTAGGTCCTGCCACATTATCGCAGTAGGGACCAGACAAGTTGTTAATTCGCTCCCCAAATCAGACTTATTTGCAGTAGAATTTTTGCAGTAGAATTTTTCAAATGTGCCAAATCCGGACCGTGTAGGTGGCACACAATGGCCCACCCTCTTCTTCTTCGATTGTCTAACTATGAAGCGGCCAGTGCGTAGAATTTAAAAAGCCAACATACAATTAACATCATTTATCGGGGCCGCCTACCAAATTATAACCACAAACTTCTGCAAAAAGCGGGGAACGCGCTGCCACTGAGCAAGTTCTACATAGCCCTGCAAGGCCCATAACACAACATGCCTTTTGATCACCCATACACTTGGAGAAGGGGGACTTAGGGAGGACTTAGTGCAGGTGTCAGTGAGAGGGGTGATTGTGACAGTATTGGTGTTTGGGAGGGTAGGGAGTGGTGGTGTTGCGGTTAGCGCGTTGCACTACGAACCCGGCGACCCAAGTTCGATCCCCGTTCACGGCCAACACGAGTGACGATTATTTGAACTGATTCTGGGCGTCCGCTAGGTCGACTCAGCCTCAAATGAGTGCCAGGTAACCCGAGTTTTATTCCTCGCCGTGGCTAACATCAGTGGCGAGTGACAATATGAACTGCTGCTGGGCCCCTCTCCTCTGCATCAGCCAACGTTAACTGGCACAGTCAAGTACGATATCGGGAGGCCTTCATCCAGCAGTGGATTGACAAGGTACTGTGAATTACCGCAGTTCAAAGTAACATTGCAGATAGAGCGTAAGGATCTGGTGAATGCTTTACACAACTCAGTGGCATTGAACATTGTTCTGTAAATCTCTATATAAGCCTCGCTCGAGGGTAATGCTGCACGTTGCCTATGCAGAAAAGGTAAGTTCACAGCGAGTAAGGAAGCAGTGATAAAGGAAGTAGTATCGTGTGGTGTAGTTGTGTGTAGTTTAGTATCGTGGTTGTCTTTGTTGCAGTGACTGTGTTGAAAAAGTGTAGCTGTGTTGTTTGAGTGGTCATGTTGTGGCTGTTTTGTAGGCATGTGTAATTCTGTATACGTTGTTGGCATGTGTAATTCTGTATATGTTGTAGGCATGTGTAATTCTGTATGTTGTAGGCATGTGTAATTCTGTATATGTTGTAGGCATGTGTAATTCTGTATATGTTGTAGGCATGTGTAATTCTGTATATGTTGTAGGCATGTGTAATTCTGTATATGTTGTAGGCATGTGTAATTCTGTATATGTTGTAGGCATGTGTAATTCTGTATATGTTGTAGGCATGTGTAATTCTGCATATGTTGTAGAGATGTATAATTCTGTATATGTTGTAGGCATATGTAATTCTGTATATGTTGTAGGCATGTGCAATTATGTATGTTGTAGGCATGTGTAATTATGTATACGTTGTAGGCATGTGTAATTCTGTATATGTTGTAGGCATGTGTAATTCTGTATATGCTGTAGGCATGTGTAATTATGTATGTTGTAGGCATGTGTAATTCTGTATATGTTGTAGGCATGCGTAATTATGTATATGTTGTAGGCATGTGTAATTCTGTATATGTTGTAGGCATGTGTAATTCTGTATATGTTGTAGGCATGTGTAATTCTGTATATGTTGTAGGCATGTGTACTTATGTATATGTTGTAGGGGTGTGTAATTCTGTATATGTTCATCTTCTTTGGTTCTTTCGGTAAAGTCACGTAGAATGAGAATAAAATAATAAATTGATAAAATTGAAAGAACCAAAGATGAATCATTGCAGTCACGAAAGCTTTAAATCGAAATCTGTATATGTTGTAGGGGTGTCTAATGCTTTAGCTGTGTTGTGGTTGTGTTGATTGTAGGAATGTGTAACCCTTGAGCTATATTATGGGAATGTGTGTGTTGTAGCTATGTTGTTTGTGTTGTGGCCGTGTTGAAGGTGTAATCCTGTAGCTGTGTTGTAGGAATGTCGTGTGGCAGAACAAAGCAAAACATTTCACACCAAATATAAAAAAGGCACAGATCGGCAGCGAACAAGCCTCCTCCCTGCCACTGTCCATCCACAGGCAGCAGCTCTGCCGAGTGTTGGTGCTGTCGTGTTGTTATTACACACGGTAGTGTGTTGTAGTGTGGTGGTTCTGATCGCTGTGGTAGTTGTTGTAAGGTTGTGACTTGCTGTGCTTGTGGTTATTGTAATGGTAGCCGTTGCTGTGGTTGCATGGTGGTCGTCTTGGTTGTCGGTGTAGTTGTGGCTACTGTATAGTCGTGGTTGTTGTAGTCGTGTTGACTGTGGTGGTTTTCGTGTGGTTGTTGTGGAGTTCGTGTTGATTCTGTGGTGGTTGTTGTGGTTGTTGTGGTGGTGGTTTCCGCATCCTGACCAGTAGGCCCAGGCTTACGCCGCCGCCTCGCTCGCAGCTCCACGACAATCACTCCACTCTCTCTCTCTCTCCGCGTACCAAACTCGCAAATGATCCCACTCTCACCCTGCTCGCGCATTACTCCCCTCACTCTGCTCGCTCATTACTCCCCTCTCACTCTGCTCGCTCATTAATCTCCTCACCCTCGCCGCACGCGCGCTCCCTTCTCTCCGATCGCGCGCGGGCGCTGCTCCTGCTGCTGCTGCTCTCGTCCGCACGCGCCGAGACTCGGATCACCTCGCCCGCCCTCCCCCCCCCTCACCTCGCACCCCCTCCCCCCTCACCCCTCACCTCGCCAGCCCGCCCTCCCCCCCCTCACCTCGCACCCCCTCCCCCCTCACCCCTCACCTCGCCAGCCCGCCCTCCTCCCCCCTCACCTCGCCCGCCCTCCCCCATCACATCGCCACCCCCCTCACCTCGCACCCCCTCACCCTCCACCCCCCTCGTCTCCCCCCCTCACCTCGCCCCCCCCCCCCCTCTCATCTCCCCCTCACGTCGCACCCTCCTCCTCTCTCGTCTCCCCCGTGCGGCGGCGGCCCAGGTTTCGCCCCCCCCCCCCGCTCACCTCCTCCCCAAATCTCCCCCCCCCCTTCTCACCTCCCCCTCTCGTACCCCCCCCTCTCCTCTTACCCCCGCCACGCTTTTCTCCTCCTCTCTTCTTTTCTTACGATCAGAGGAGACAAGAAGATGCTCGGTGTAGTCGGCACTCTGCTCCATTCATCATTTCGTTTTTTTTTGCTTTGCTTTATGTGACCCCCCCCCCTTTTTAAATGAAAGACCCAACACAATCTCTCCACCCCTCTCTCCTCCTATCCCCCATTCTCTTCCCTTCTATCCCCTCCCTCTCTCTTTTTTCTCCTCCCCTTCTCCCCCCCATCTCTCCCCTCGTCCTCTCCCCCCCTCTCCCCTCCTCTCCCCCTTTCTCCTCTCTTCTCCTATCCGCCTCCCCCCTCTCTCCTCCCCCCTCCTCTCATCTTCTGTTCCCTTCTCTCCTCCTCTCCATCCCCTCGCCCTCTCCCCCTCTCTTCCCCCCTCTTCCTCTCGCCTCCTCTTTCCCTCTCGCCTCCCCCCCCCTCTCTCTTTCTTTACTCCTTTTTTTCTTTCCTTTTTTATGTTCTTTTTTGTTTAATTTCTATTTCTTTTTTACCTTATTTTCTTTTTCCTCATTTTCCTTGTTTCTTCTCCCTCTCCTCCCCTCTCTCCCTCTGCCCCTCTCTCCGTGTGGCGCACAAGTCTCACGCTCACGGAGACCTCCCGGCAATCTAGATTTGATCTAGATTTGAAGTTTTCGTGACTGCAGGCAGCTAACGTGCGGTGACGACGCTCATGGTGCACCCCTAAACCGCATTCACGCTACAAACCCATGTTGTGCAACAGTGATGCCGATAACCTGATGCGCAAGCGGGCAGTAGGTCTTAATCTTTACTGCAGCCTTGCACCCCTTTGATTCGCAATCGTATTTTTTATCATATAATTAATACATAGGTTTGATGATACGTGCCCGTGATTAATTCGTTTTTGATTATTTACCTTCTAAAAAAAAATCTGCCCATATCTCGCAATCTCCAAGAGGTACGTGCACCCCAAGGTGCTCTAGGGGTTACTATAGTCACAACTCTACAGATTACTCTCGTACTTACTCTAGTGATTACTCTACAGATTATTCTAGGGATGAATCTAGTCACTACGTTACATATTACTCTGGTAGTTACATCTTGATCTAGTCACTACTCTAAAGATTACCCTACATATTACTCTCGTGGTTACTCTGCAGATTACTCGAGTGATTACCCTACAAATGTACCCGCCTGATTGCTTTAGCGGCTACCCTACGAATTACTCTAGGGATTACTTATGGACGTTACTGCCAGCGATGAACCCCAGCGATTTCCGTCTTCGCTCCCACGTGCGTCAGCTATGTGCCTCCCGCATGTACTGCTGTACTGTATCGCACTATGTTCCTGTGTAGTAGTGAGCACTGTTCATAATAAAGATTTTGGGTTAGATCACGTTATTTATAAATGTGTCGCAACCCTCCACCACCCGACACGGCCAATCAGTAAAAAAATGTGTCACGTTAACAAAACGCCAATTATTTATTTCTTCAGCCCACCGGTGTTTGAAGAGTTAATCCACAACGTTCAGAATTTGAGTACAACGTTTCGCTGGTAATTACATCCAGCCAAGGCCGTAGCCAGGGGTTCTAGGGGTCCCCCCCCCCTAGAAAAAAAATCTAAATTTAAAAACGAATTTCCTACCTAAAATATTTAAAAATTCACTAGCACATGGGATTGAATTTTTTTTTTACAATGTCTAGTGTATTGTATTACATTGCTCTGTTTTCTTATTTACATTTTCTTGTTTCATTGTATGTAATGGCAGAGCTTAATAAATTACAACCATAACCACAATAAAACAAACATAAATCTATGCATTGTTTTCATTTACAGAGCATACCAATTATTATTTTTTAAATATTTTGATAGCAATATATTGGGGGGGGGGGACATTTTGAGCATATTTGAATATTGGGGGGGTTGTTACCCCAGCACTCAGTTTAACACGTAGTTTAACACGTAGGCTTTTGCCAGAAGATGCTGGATGTAATTACCAGCGAAACGTCGTCCTACTCAAATTCTAAATATTGTGGATTAACTCCTCCAACACACCGATGGGCTGAAGAAGTAACTAATTGGCGTTTTGTTAACGTGACAATTTTTTTTCTGATTGGCCTTGTCGGGTGGTGGAGGGTTGCGACACATTTATAAATAACGCGATCTAAACGAAACACCTTGATTATGAATACTGATCGCAAAAGCCTCCGTGTTAAACGGAGTGTGTACTGTGTGCAGTCCGTGGTGATAGGTGTGCACTGTTCACAATTAAACAAATGATGCTGCTTTGGCAGTGGTGTGCAAGCACAAATAACTCAACACGTTCTGTACCAATAACACCGTGACCCTAAACGTATATAAATGGCGACGTTTCAGGCCACGACCCTTTATAGCTTATGGGTTTGTGGTTATCTCAACCTCTCCCGCCTTTCTGCACTGTGCAGTAGGGCCATAGCACTAAACTCGCCTACATATACAGTACTCGATCATTTCAAGGCAGCGTAATTGACGAATGTGTTGAGTTTTGTGTACTCCAATGTATTGTGTAGTACTGCAGTTTACTGAGTGTCCTGTATTGTAGGTCGTATTATGTGCACGTATAGCACTGTGTATAGTATTCCATATTGTGAAATGTAGTAACCCGCAGTGTACTGCTGTATGTGCTCCATCACCAGCGCTGCAGGCCCCGTCTCCTTCTCACGGCTTCCTGTTGTGACGACACAGGCCCAACATGGTGGGGGTGGGGGGGGCGTGTCGCTGGAGGCGGGGGGGGGATGCGACGGACGACAGCGACGAGAAAGGGAGCGGGGGACCCCGCTGGGGGAGGGGGGGACACGACTGACGACGATGATGAGAACACCGGTGAGTGGGGGGGAACGTGACGAGCGACAGCGCCATGGAGGGGAATCCCGGGATTTGCATGACGTGCGATGCCATTGGTGGAAATATGGAGCATGAGGTGGGGTGCCTGGGGGGGGGGGTGCGACGGACGACAGATTTCGCTGTTGCCCGTTGAATGAATGCAATCGGTAACTCATTGAAAAAAAGAGAGATTACAACTCTGTAGCAATCCACTGGTAGATTAATATAAAGACCTCCCCGCGCCGTTGTCAGTCACGAGTTCGTTGTTTGACTATACTTCAAAACGTTGGTCAAGTGCACAGGTTAATCAAACGGGGTATAGCCCTATGAGCCATTCGGCTCTTGAATCGGGTGCAACCACAACAAAAAAAACACGAACAAGAAAAACATCTTAAAGTGACTATGTGACAATGCAAACAGAAAATCCATGAAAAAAACAGCAAATTATTCCTGAAAAAGCACCGTACACCAACGCTGTGTGCAAAAAATCTCAGTGGGATGCAAGTCAAACAACAACAACAACCACAAGAAAACTTAGATTAAGGCCATTAGTCTAACTCCGTACTACAACAAAAAAACATGTCCAAACCAAAGAACGTTTTCGAAATCACCTAAAAATAAAGCCATAAATTTCGATTTAAAGCTTTCGTGACTGCAAGGATTCATCTTCTTTGGTTCTTTCGGTAAAGTCACTTTCGGTAAAGTCACGTAGAATTCTACGTGACTTTACCGAAAGAACCAAAGAAAATAAAGCCATAATTACAACGTAATAGTGATCACAGGGACTGTGACCGAATTTTTACAACAAACTACATAAATAACATATAACACCAAATCCTAGAGCCATAGCTTGCTGCATGAGCTACTCCACAACAACAGAAGCATCACTCGGAGTATCAAAATTTTCAATGCACCTTCAAGATCAGCACGCTAAATCAAAATACAGATATTACTTTGCAGCGCCATCCGGAGCGAACATTTTATTTTATTTTACGCCAATGAATAGCAGTGGCAGCTAGAGGTGTACAACTCATCTAGAGCAGTTTTGAGAGATCTCATTGGTAGCGATTCAAGTTGCAGTTTATTGGCAATAGCATTCCAGACCCTGGGGGCATCAATAGCAAAGGCCCTTCCTCCAGTTTTTGTACGGCAATAGGGAATGTGAAGCTGGTAAATGAGCGAAGACCTGAGGTCAAATGTATTCTTTGAAACAGAGAGGAGATCCAGCAAGTGGTCTGCGGATTTTTTTGTAAGTACATCGTGAATAAATAAGATCTGGTGCACAAGCCGTCGAACATTTAGAGATGTTAAGTTTGACCCAATGTAGAGATCACAGTGGTGAGTCCTATATGGGCAGTTCAATGTAAATCTTACAAGCTTCTTCAGTACAGTACTTGGGGCTGATTTATACACGATGTCACAGTAGTCAAGTAGAGGCAGTATGGTAGCTTTTATCAATTCCAAACGGAATATTGGGGGGAAGCAGTGCTTGTGTCGATACAGAAAACCTATTTTAATTTTTGTTTTTTTACCAATATAATCAATGTGATCTTCACAATTCAGTTTTGAATCTAGGATGACCTCAAGATACTTATAGATCTTGACTTGCTCTATT